GGCGACTTGACGGAGGTTGTGGTTGTGGACCAGGAGAGGGCAAGAGACGCCATTTGGGTATTTTGTGTTAGGTTGAGAATTAGCAAGTCATATCATACATATATAGACTTTCTCAGTATTGATGTTTGCGAGCACTGTTGGTGCGCGGACCGTTAAACTCTATATGGTGAAAGTTCAATGTATGTTCGCAATCACAATCATGTTCTGGTCTAATTGTGCGGGTTGACACGTCAAATTATTTGCACTTAATCTGGTCATTCTAAAGACAGAGTGTCACTGTTCAGACTAGTTGCATGTTGTTTATTGCGGTGGCTAAGAGTTTACTGATAATGATGTCTATATTTTATCATTTTATAACTTGATTCCAATTTCAAGTGTTCGTTACGGAACTATCCCATTGAAGTTTATAATCGTTAAATCAACTATTTCAACGGTTATATAATAATTTAACGGTTACAAACCCGACGAAATGGTTCCGTGACGGAACCATGGTAACCATATTATTTCCATATGCTATGCTAATTAAACCAATTCGGTCGCGAGAATGTTTTGAAGCAGCCATACACCGCCTAACAACACACTCTGAATAATCAAAACCAAATTGAATTATAAATTGAATTACCATAATACGTTGAAAAAATAAGTCATTATTGTTGCTTATGTAGTACACATGTATATTGTGGTAGTGGCAATTAAGAAACAACGAAGAATAGAGGAAAAAAAAAAAAAAAAATCTAATAATTTGTTGAAAAAAAATTATTAGTTAACTATTGACTAGTAGTAGTTGAGGCTGCTGCACACCCATGGTTTTAGTTATTGGTCAACTTGCGACTATTGCTTAACCACACTGGTTTGGTTAATCCTTTGTATTTTAAAATGTTTATCTCGTCAAATATATATATATATATAGGGTTAGGTGAAAGAAATGAGAATAAATTGTAGTCATTAGATTTGATGATCTAATGGCTTGAAAAAAACAAAAATTATATCTTCATTAAAGGTAATACAGTAAATTTAAATACTACACTTTAGGTGGATCGATTTCTAAATTAAATATATCTGCCAATACTACGCACCCACACCAAAATGCCAACTATTATCTGTTCTCACCTACCAAAACACACCATCCTATCTCTCTCTCACACACCAACACTATCTCTCTCACACACCAACACACGCACACACACTTCCTGCATATACACATACAGGCAGCCGCCTTATTCACTATCGCCGTCGTCGCTGTGCCACCGTGGCCGCCCACTCCCTCGCTCGCCGGAGTCCCTCCATCGCCGCTCACTCCGCCGCCAGCTTCCCGCTTTTCTTCAACTGCTCCTCCGACCTCCCGCCGGAGTTCTGTTGTCGCCACCCGCCACCGGCATCCACGCCTTTTGCCTCGGTGCTCGCTGGCTTCCACCGCCTTCAACCGTTCAACGGCATCCTCACGCCAGAGCTATTCTCCACCGCCTTCTCCAGAGCTCTTCTCCACCGCCCCCTAGTCCTCTAAGCGCCATGGCCGGCGTGATATATCTCATCGCATCAAAACCCAAAAACATGAAATTGAAAACTAAATCACACAAGGAATCTTTCTAAAATCAAAACCACATCAAGACCCATCACCTAAAGTGGACAATAATCAAGCAAAAGTCGGCACCCACAGAAGCCAGAATCAGAACAAATATGAGTAATTAATCAACCATCCAGTGCTCAAAACACGCCCCATCAACAAGAAAACACGATACAAAAATCATTCAAAAACAAAAACAACACATTACGTGTACGAATCGGACACCGCCGCGGATGAACAGTACTCCATGGTGGACCCGCCGACGAGGGGATTTGACACCGCCGGCAAGGGCATCCCAATTCACACAATAACACGATTGTGGCACGGCCAGTTATGGAAGAACCCGCCGGGATGAATAGTACTCCACGGGGAACAATTATCAGAAAGTGTAAATTGAGATTGTGGGGTTTCTTTTTGGAAATTAGATAATTTCAAATGATTCAAATGCAATTTTATATATTTTAATATATTCCAATTTAGTCCACAGGGTCAAATTTATAATTTTTAAAAAATTTAATAATTGCATCCCAGTTGAACATAAAAAACTGCACACGGCACATATTGTTAAAACAAACAACATTTTATTTTAAAAAACATTAGAATAATAATAAATTATAAATTATTTTAATTAATTAGGTTAATTTAATGTAAAATTATATATGCTAATTCTAGTTTTCAATAACACATAAGTTATATTTGATCATATAAAGTAGTGCACTTTATATATTATTACGGTGCACTTTGTAGAACAATATGTTGCACTTTATTATTACACTCCATACTTAACGTCAATAGCTTACCGCCAAAAAATACCACACAACATAAATATAAAAAGCGGGTAAACATAATATTTTAACATCAACCACATCAGTTATGCACACGAAACACAATAATGCTAACATGTCGAAATTATAGTCGTTCACTTTATACATGCACTTTACAAAACATTATGTGCACTTTAGAAAACAACACACTGCACTTAATCAAAACTATCAGATTGCACAATAAAGATCGAAACACAATGATCAATTTTTTTTTAACAAACAATAATATAAAAAATAATAAATAAAATTATTAACGTATTAAACATACTATTAATATAAATAACAAAATATTCCGATTATTTTGGATAATTCGGTTAACCGAACTGAATAAGCCAATTAATTACAATATTTTTTTATTTAAGATAAAAGTTCGGTTGGTTCAATCTGCACAATACAGACCAATACAATACACTGTATTGATAGACGAATTGCACCTTAATAACAGATAGGTTGCACAATACATTTTGCTTACATGTATACAATTTTTTTAATAAAAAATTAACATAAAATATCAAATAAAAATATTAAATATGAATCATGTTTTCTATAATAAAAAATATAATTTGTATCGGTTATTTTGGTTATATATGTTAACCGACTATGTTGTAATTTAACGTTAACCGATTAACAAATAATGTGCATTTTACAGTGCTTTGACATCTTAGTATTTTTTTGTTTGAATTTTTAATGTGCATATATACACACGATATTGTGTAAATTGTTTGCATAAATCTAAAAAATGTATCAAAATAATATAATTTAACATCCACCACATCATCCGTACACAAAAAAAAAAAAAAAAAAAAAAAAAAAAAAAAAAAAAA